AAAATTCTCAAGAACTTGCAAGAACCCTAAGTCTTTCTTTCTCAAATTTTCACCCAAATTTCTGAGAAAATGAAGGTTGTCGGAGCAAATGTCCACTTCCAGAAGTTAGAAGCCAAGTGCTCCTCACCAACATTCTTCCAAAGCTATCTGCAAATGATAGCCGCTCAAGAACTCTCCGAATTTCTTCAAATGGAGATTCACCTCAAATTCGAGGAAGAAGTTCTCGAATTCTACAGAAATGGAGAAATCAAAACTGCCCATTCAAAGAAGGACCCACAGAGGACGTTTCCAGTCATCAAGTCCACTGTTGGGGGTACAAAAGTAAAGCTTTCGCAAAAGAAATTGGGAGAAAAGCTTCGCCTTCCCAATTCTGGAGTTGAAGTTGGGAAATTTCCAGTCAAAAATCTGGACTGGAACATCATTGGAATCTCTGGGCAAGCTCCTTCTGGCCCAGCGAAGAAAGCAGATCTAAACAACGATTACAAGTTGGTTTTGGAACTGGTCATCGCTTGCCTCGAGTGTGGAAGTGGAGGTCATGGCGATGACATCACCCAGGAGAGAGCCTTCATCATCAACTCTCTCATTACCAAAACTAAGGTAAACTGGGCTGCACACTTTTTCAATTCCATCTCAAAGCATTTGGGAAAGCCCCAGCAGAAATATCTCTGTCAAGGACTATACCTTGGACATATTTTGGAATCTATGGGTATTGCTTCTAAAGGAAAGAAGTATGAAGAAAGATACTGGTTATATTATCTGTCTTCAAAAGGGGAAAACAGAGCTGGTACTAGTGCCACTGCAGAAGAAAGCTCTTCAGATAACGTCCCACTCATCCATATGACGAAGACTACCAAAAGGAAGAAAGTGGTGTCTCCCTCCATTGAAGCACCACAGAATCTTGCTCCAATAAACCTTGAAGAAGAAGAAGAATCCTCTGACCAAGGAGAACTTCAAAGGAAGAAGAAGAGGAAGATCAACTCCCCATCAACATCTAGAAATATCTATCCGGATGAGTTGAAGGAGAAGGAACCTGCTGAGGAAACATCTGCTCATAACCGGAGCTCTCAACAATTTGAAGAAGAAATTCCTCAAGTCCAAAGCCTTCCAACCTCATCTCAGCATCAAACAGATGATGCAGATAACCAATTCTGGCAGTTATACTATGATTGGAAAGCCTGGAAAGTTGGAAATTCAGCAGAGCAACTGTTGAATTGGGACCAACAGCTGAAGAATGAGAAAATCATCAAGAAGTGCTTAGGAATACCAGTCAACCACAACTGTGAACAGATTTTGGATGACTACTGGGTATGGAAAAGGAACCCTGAAGACTTGCATCTGGAATACCTAGCCAATACACCAGTTTCAGACTGTGAAGCAGATGATGAAGACACTGCAGTCTTCAAGCCAGTCTTCTCAAAAGCTACAGAAGATCAAGTGGCTCTCACTTCTGAAGCAACAGCTGAGGATTTCCAAACATTTCCGGAAACCTCACCTGCCCTC